ACACGCGTGCCCACCCCCAACATAGCATGGTGCCTGTCCCTTGGTTCTATTTCTGTGGCAAATCAGTCTCCTTCATCAGATCATTGTCTCCAAGTTGCCAAGGATGTTTTGTGCAGCTTGAGATCCCCAGCCAGGATACTTGAATATCACGGTGTCATTTTTAAATGAATAAATAATAAAAGGCAAAATTATTTCAGTCCTACAAAGAGTTGAGGGCACAGAGAAAGAATAGCTTCAAGGGCTGGACAAAGTCCGGTGGCGTCCACTCCAGCAACCAGTTCCAGGCCAGCGCGGGTGCTAGACCCACAGCCTGCCCCTTCCCCGCGCGCATGCGCAGCATTCTCCGCCCCGTCCGACTCAACCCCGCCCTCAGCCGCTCCCTCTGTGCCATTCCTCCCCAACTAGGGAGAGGAGGCGGGGTCCTATCGCCGCGGTGCTCCTTGGGTAGTGTCCCTGGTTACTGTTGCTAAGACTGCGGGTCGCCTACAGGTGGTAGGAGTCAGAAGTTTTGGAAGCCAGGAAGTGAGAAGTCCAGGGTCAGTGCAAAGCCGGAGAGGAAGATGGTGAAGCAAACCATCCAGATTTTCGCGAGGGTGAAGCCCCCTGCCCGGAAGCAGCAACAAGGGGTACGGGCCGGAGCAACGAGGGCCAGCGCGACCCGGGGTGGGGCGGCACGCGAGGGGGCTGGGCCTGGGCGAGCAGCTCGGCGGGCGCAGGTGCAGCTGGGCCGGGGGCCACGCACACACTGACCGAGACTCTCCCGCAGCCACGCCTATGCTGGAGCGCGACGGTCGGGGAGACACCCAGGCACTCCCACCCGGCGCAGCGCTGCGAGCGCAGACCTTACTGCGCCGGGCAGTCGCGTTCACGCTGGGGCAGACTGGGCCTGCAGGCCTGTTCGCACACTCCCCTGGCCTGCACCTCATGCCTGCGCAGGCATGTTCTGCATCCTTCTGGGATACTGTCACGCAGCTCTGCGTACACAGATACACTCAGATATAAGTTTTTGTACGAAGGCAAAACGCGTGTAATTGTAAGCCAAAGGTTGATGGTGGCGTATGTCTAAAATGGTACAGATACAGATATCCAAAGTATACACACAGTACTTCCCACGCAACAGGGTCTCAGGGCTTTGCTAACTAACTCCATTGCCGTTCTGCAACGTAAACATGAATCTTTGGGTTCCCCTAGCTTCTTTGACACACTTCATACTAAACTTCTGGTCAAAGTAGACCATCTTGGTTGCTGTACTTTCTTGCCCATCACTTACTTCTTGGTCTCTTGAAACTTAATTTCTGATCCCACTTTCCACTGCAAACACTATATAAATTACCAATGACCTCTTAGTTGCTAAATTGAATGAGCATTTTTTCAGTGCATCCTCTTTAGTATCCAACACCGTTGAACTCTTTTTCTAAAACTGTTCTCTTCTCTTGGTTTCCATTATAAAACATTCCCTCTGACTTCTCTGGCTGCTCCCTGCATCCTCTCTTTAAAACCAGACCTTCAGTTTCAACCATCAGTATTAGGATTTCAGCCTCAGTCTTCTTGAGTGACTCAGTCACTTTCAGGGAAAAAAAGTCCAAAATCTATATTTTTCAGCCAAACTTGGTCAAACTATTTACTGAAATCCCACGGTCCCTTGAAATTTAGCAAGTCCCCAATTCCTCATTTTCCCTTCTTCCCTACTCTATCTTACCTGTCCTGGTGAATATCTGCATCATATACCTGATTGCTGAGTCTTAGGTCATCTCCTCCTCACCTGGTGGAAAAAAAAAAAATCCCTACCTTCTATTTAATAAACACCAGGTTCTCTCCTCTTCTCCATTCTTGCTACTGCTGCCAGGTTCTCTCTTCTCCATTCTTGCTACTGCTGCACCTGTTCATACTCCATTCTTTCTCTCTCAGTCTCCTTGTTACGGTATAATTTACCTACAGAATAGTTTACCCTTTTAAGAGTATAGAGAGTTCTATGATTTTCAACAAATGCCTATAGACACGTAACCACAATCACAAAATATGAAACAGTTCTATCAATCCCCTCCCCTTGCCAAAAGAGACCCCCCCAAAAACAAGTAACAACAACAAAAGCCCTCAGGAGCTCTGTGTTCATCTGCAGAACCCCTTCCCTTCCCTCAGACGCTCTGTGTTCATCTGCAGAACCCCTTCCCTTATTATCTGCCCCTGGAAAGCGCTGATCTGTTTTCTATCCCCATAGTTCTTCTTTTTCTAGAATGTCATATCAATGGAATGATATAGTGTATGAACCTTGAGTCTGGCATGTTTCACTCAGCATAATGAATTGAATATTTAGCCATGCCGTTGTAGGCATCTGTAGTTCATTCCTTTTTATTGTATAGATATACCCGTTTGTTTATCTATTCACCAGTTGGAGAGTATTTTGTTTGTTTCCAGCTTTCAGCAATTGTGAATAAAACCACTATAAACATCCATGTTTAGGCTTCTATGTGAACATAAGTTTTCATTTCACTTGGGTAAATACCAAGGAGTTAGATTGCTAGGTCATCTGGTAAGTATGCGTATAATTTTATAAGAAATCGTGATTCCATTTTTTCAAAGTGGCTAGTCCATTTCACTGTCTCACCAGTGATGTTTCAGAGTTCCAGATGCTCTGCATTTGTGTCAGCACTTTGAATTGTCAGTTCTATTTTATTTTTAACCATTCTAAGAAATGTATAGTGGTACCTCACTGTGATTTTAATTTGCATTTAATTAATGTGAACATCTAGTGAACATCTTTTTTCATGTGTGAATTTGCCATTCACATATGCTCTTTTGTGAAGTACTTGCCCAAACCTTTGAGCCCTACCCATACCCCCAGCTTTTTAAATTCAAGTTTTTCTGCTACTAAGTTAAAAATTTTACATAGCTTAGATGCAAGTCCTTTATCAGATATGTATTTTGCAAAAGTTTTTCAATCTGTAGTTTGCCTTTTTGTTTTCGTAATTGTATCTTTAAAAAAATGATTTTAGGGACCAGCAGTTGATGTAATGGCTATATCGCTGGACTCCCATGTAGTCGACTTCGGTTCAAGTCCTGGACCTGGTGGCTTAAACTCAAGCCGGGCACGTGTGCATCTGTGCCCAAGATCCTGAAAGGAGAATGGAAGAGAAGGGACTGTGGCGCGGCCATCCCCCCCTAGGGGGATGATTTCTCGCTTTCTTTCTGGCGAGCGCACGTGCCCTATAGCAAAACCTCTAAAAAAAAGATTCTATAGATTCACATGCAGTTATAATAAAATAATACAAAGACAACCTGCATACTCTTCAGCCAGTTATTTCCATTGGCAGCATCTTGTATAATTATGGTACAATATTATAATCTGGGAATTGAGATTGATACAATTTATCAATCGTATTCAATTCTATTTGACTTTCACCAGTTGTGTATGCATTCATTTGTATGTGCGTACTTAGTTCTATGCAATACTATCACATGTATAGATTTCTGTGACCACCACTACAGCTGAGGCACAGAACGGTCCATTACAAGAATTTCTTTTATAACAGTGGCTACCCTAAGTTCTCCCCACCTCTCTGGCAACCACTGATCTTCTCTTCCTCTGTAATTTTGTCATTTCAAGAATGTTATATAAGTGGATTTCTACAGTATTTAACTTTTTCTTTTTTCTTTTTTTTTGGAGAGTGTTTTTGTTTGTTTGTTTTGATATAGGGTGTGTGTGTTCACCAAAAAGACAGAGAGAGACAGAAAGCGAGAAATCACCCCCCTGGGGGGATGGCCACGTCGCAATCCTTTCTCCGTTCTCCTCTCAGAATCTTGGGCACGCACGCACATGCGCCCGGCATGAGTTTTAAGCCACTGGGTCCAGGATGCGAACCGCAGTCGACCACATGGGAGTCCAGCGACATAGCCATTACGCCAACTGCTGATCCCTACAGTATTTAACTTTTGAGTCTGCTTTCTTTTGTGAAGCATAATTCCTTGGACATTTATCTAAGGTGCTACCCTTATCAATAGTTCCTTCCTTTTTATTGCTGAATAGTATTTCACAGTTTGTTTAGCCATTCTCCAGCTGAAGGACATCTGGGTTGTTTTCAGTTTGGAGCTATTATAAATAAAGGTCCTACAAGCAGTCATGCACAGCTTTTTGTGTGAACATAAGTTTTCATTTCTGAAATAAAAGTCCAAGAGTGCAATCGCTGGGTCTTAGAGTGCCTGCTCTTTCAATTTGGTAAGAAATTCTCTTTTCCAGAGCACTGTAGCATTATGCATTTTGACTTTTTATATTCCCTCCTCTAATGTAAAAGCGATTCGGTTTCTCCACATTCCTGCCATATTTTGATGTCATTTTTTTTTCAGCTTTCCTGATCAGAGTATAGCGATATCTCATTATGGTTTTAATTTATATTTCGCTGGTGTATCGATAATGAGGCGGACCACCTTTTCACGTGCTAATAGTGTTTCCAGGAGCCTGTCCTTTCTTGATATGAGGACTGCATGGGAAACAGCCTCCCTTTCTCCAGTTTTACTTCCTATACAGAGTTACGCAGACACGCGTGCCCACCCCCAACATAGCATGGTGCCTGTCCCTTGGTTCTATTTCTGTGGCAAATCAGTCTCCTTCATCAGATCATTGTCTCCAAGTTGCCAAGGATGTTTTGTGCAGCTTGAGATCCCCAGCCAGGATACTTGAATATCACGGTGTCATTTTTAAATGAATAAATAATAAAAGGCAAAATTATTTCAGTCCTACAAAGAGTTGAGGGCACAGAGAAAGAATAGCTTCAAGGGCTGGACAAAGTCCGGTGGCGTCCACTCCAGCAACCAGTTCCAGGCCAGCGCGGGTGCTAGACCCACAGCCTGCCCCTTCCCCGCGCGCATGCGCAGCAGTCTCCGCCCCGTCCGACTCAACCCCGCCCTCAGCCGCTCCCTCTGTGCCATTCCTCCCCAACTAGGGAGAGGAGGCGGGGTCCTATCGCCGCGGTGCTCCTTGGGTAGTGTCCCTGGTTACTGTTGCTAAGACTGCGGGTCGCCTACAGGTGGTAGGAGTCAGAAGTTTTGGAAGCCAGGAAGTGAGAAGTCCAGGGTCAGTGCAAAGCCGGAGAGGAAGATGGTGAAGCAAACCATCCAGATTTTCGCGAGGGTGAAGCCCCCTGCCCGGAAGCAGCAACAAGGGGTACGGGCCGGAGCAACGAGGGCCAGCGCGACCCGGGGTGGGGCGGCACGCGAGGGGGCTGGTCCAGGGCGAGCAGCTCGGCGGGCGCAGGTGCAGCTGGGCCGGGGGCCACGCACACACTGACCGAGACTCTCCCGCAGCCACGCCTATGCTGGAGCGCGACGGTCGGGGAGACACCCAGGCACTCCCACCCGGCGCAGCGCTGCGAGCGCAGACCTTACTGCGCCGGGCAGTCGCGTTCACGCTGGGGCAGACTGGGCCTGCAGGCCTGTTCGCACACTCCCCTGGCCTGCACCTCATGCCTGCGCAGGCATGTTCTGCATCCTTCTGGGATACTGTCACGCAGCTCTGCGTACACAGATACACTCAGATATAAGTTTTTGTACGAAGGCAAAACGCGTGTAATTGTAAGCCAAAGGTTGATGGTGGCGTATGTCTAAAATGATACAGATACAGATATCCAAAGTATACACACAGTACTTCCCACGCAACAGGGTCTCAGGGCTTTGCTAACTAACTCCATTGCCGTTCTGCAACGTAAACATGAATCTTGACGTGTGCTCATGGTAGATATAGACAGAAAATGCATCCTGACAGGAAGAATCCACATACACTCTCCTTTCAGAAAACAGTAACTCAGTGTGTGCTAGGAGCTTCCCCAGATGTGCTAAATTCAGAAGGATACAGAGATGGTTAAACCATTGCCCTTGCTCTGAGCAGAGATACTTTCTATGTGTCCTAAATGTTTTAAACATGTTTTCTCAGTTTAGAAGAGAGCATAGTTATACTGATCCTCTCTTGAGAAGTCGCCACCTGCCTGCTAGGTGCTTTATCTGCGCTCTCTGGTTCTCACAAGAGCTCTCGAAGGTTGGTGTCATTTTCCTCATTTTACAGATGAGGAAACTGTGTTTCAGGTTAATGTGGCCAAGGCACCCAGCTGGTGAGTGGCAGAATTGTGATTTTGATGAAGGATTTTTGATTCCAAAGCTATTCCCTCTTCAGGCAAAATAATTTTTGCCTACAGATAATTCAGGCGACGGCAATTTGGGCCACATTGCTGAGTGCCTGGGATAAGTTTACTATTGCTATTTTATTTCTATCCCATGTCCACTCTGTGTATATGGATAACATAGTACCTTATAATTTAGCATTTGCTTAATGTAATTTAGTATTTAAAACAAGGAGATTATAGTGTCTTTGTCATCACCATTCATTCTTTTTTTTGGGAGAGGTTTTTTTTTGCTATAGGGCACGTGCACTCGCCAGACAGACAGAGAGAGACATAGAGACAGAAAACGAGAAATCACCTGCTGGGGGGATGGTCACACCACAATCCCTTCTCCTCCATTCTCCTCTCGGGATCTTGGGCACGCACGCACACACTCCCGGTGTGAGTTTTAAGCCACTGGGTCTGGGACGCGAACTGCGGTCGACTATGTGGGAGTCCAGTGACATAGCCATTACGCTAACTGCTGGTTCTCACCATTCATTCTTTTACTCATGGCATATATCAGGACTGATGCATGAGAACACTCCAAGGAAGATATGAACTTTTCTTCTTCTTTTTAATCAATTATTTTAGGTTTTTGCTACAGAGTATGTGCATTCACCATAGAGAGAAAGAAAGTGAGAGAACACCCCCCCCCCCAAGGGGAATGCCCACACCACAATCCCTTCTCCTCCATTCTCTTCTCAGGATTTTGGGCACGCATGTACATGCACTCAGTGTGCTTTGCAAGCTGCTGGGTATGAAGCTCCAACCGAACCAAACGGTAGTGGGCCATGTGGGGGTCCAGTGCCTTAGCCACACACCATCTGCTGCCTTTTTCTTCTTCTTTTTTTTTTTTTTTTTTAAAGGAATAATGCAGTGTAGGAAAGATAGAAAGAACACATGGTTTCTTCTCATTTTCTCTTCTCTTAAAATCACATGAAGAATTTTTTTAAGTGCATTATTTGTAAACAGTATATTATGTATCACACCTCTTCCATTCTTAGCTATTAATGTTGAGTTTACCTGCACAGTTCAAGTCAGATACAAATGATCAGATAATAAAATGATAAGATGGATGTGAGTGGGATTGGCAGTGAAAGAGGATCTATGGAAACTCTTGAATTTAATATTGGACTTTCTCTTTTCTTCATATGTAGTGTTTAGATATTTTAATGTGCCTCCTTCTTCATTGTGCTGTAAGTTGTTTGATTGCCTAGGAGGTATTTTTAGGTATCATATTGCATTTTCATAATGTTAGATTCTTACTGAGACATAACATTATGTTATATACATAAAAACACAAATTAACAAATATTTAGTTAGTGTATCCCCTGCAGATATCTTTTTGCCCTCAGTAGATTTTATGTTTCTCTGATTGGAAATGCTGTCTGTAGCATTAAACCAACAGTGATTCCAAAGCTTTATTAATCCTATTCCTTAGGGCATAATAAATTAACTTACAATCATTTATAGATTAATACATAAAATGAACCTCTTAATTTTATAATTTTACCCACGATGATGCTTTTCATTTGTGTAATGCTTCATGTATTTCAAAACATTTTCGTTGTTATTCTGGCTTTTCTTGTGTCTTCTATTCTAAAAAACAATTACCATATTTTAAAAACTATTTTTGACTAAGGGTAGAAAGGCAGTATAGGAAGGGGTCTTCAAAAACCTCATGTGGGACCAGCAGATGGCACAATGTTTATGTCGCTGGACTCCCACGTAGTTGACCGCAGTTCATGTCCCAGACCTGGCAACTTGAAACTCATTCAAAGTGCGTGTGCGTGCGCGTGAGTGCCCAAGATCCTGAGGGGAGAATGGAGGAGAAGGGATTGCAGTATGGCCATTCCCCCCCCCCTCTGGAGGGTGGTGGTGATTTCTCTCTTTCTGCCTTTTTGTCTCTCTCTGTCTCTGTCTCCTTGGCAAGTGCATGCCCCTATAGCAAAAATCTCTGGGGGAAAAAACATTCATGGAAAATGCATATGTTGAAAAACTGTGTATGGATTTAAAAAATTTTTGCACCAGAATAAAATTGCACTTTAATTGGGGGAAAAAACGTTCATGGAAAATGCATATGATGAAAAACTATGTGTGGATTTAAAAATTTTTTGCACCAGAATAAAATTGCACTTTAATTCCATTTTCTGTGAACTTTCTGAAGTTGGCTAAATGTTTCTGTATTTGACTGAAGAGTTTTTCTGGCTCTTAGATTAATTTTCTTAATACTTCAAAGGATGGCTTACTCAGAGTGGCTGAGGGTCATTGTTCTACCCTGTTGATGCTCCTTTCTGACTTCTGAGTTCTGAGAGATACAATTTTTTTTTTTTTGATATGCGGCATCCCTCACTCTTGTGTGTTTCTTGTGTTATACACCCTCTTCACTCATCTGTCTAGCTGTTACCCATTTTTTTGGGAAATGCAATGCCCTAAAGAATATAATTTTTTAAATGCCTCTTAAGAAAACCAGAAAGCCTTGAACCTGATCCCATTCATTACTTTCCGCAAATTATCTTATTTTTACTGAATGACTTTTTTACATGAAGCCTTCATATTTTAATTGAGACTTTCAGTAATCATCTGCTTAGGAAATTAGTGAAACTTTCTGGAGAGTTAGGTAGGCTTTTACTTGCTTAGGAATATGACTTTTTCCTCTGTAATCAAGCATCTAAATGGGTCTTAAACAGGAAGTACAGCCTGTTAGAAAGAATTTTATTTCCTGGTGAAAGACAAGAAGTCTTTTTAAAAAACCTCTAAATCTAATGACTAACCTTTTTAATGGAGCATTACAAAATACTTCCATTTCCATTACATCATTTAATCCCTGTAGTGATCTTGTTAAAGAAGGCAATTCTGTTTTCCTCATTTTATGTCTAAGGCATCTCGGTTTTGAAAGTGGTGGCTTGTCACACAGCTGGTAAATTGAGCTTAGCATTTGACCCAAGTCTTTGGACACCAGGTCTTAGGATTTTTCTTATTCCAAATGACTTCTTCATGGATTTCACTCCTGATTTTTCTGGCCAATAATTAAAGGCATAGGTAACCAAGAATAGAATCAGAGAATGTTAAGGTTGTAAGAATGTTGGTTAAGACCCTCCATTTCCATATCAGCATCCAGAGACAAAGTGATTTCTCCCAGGTCACACTAATTAGTAGCTGAGCTTGGATGAGAACCTTGAGAAGGACATCAAACACATGAATCGTATGTGTCTTTTGAAACCACATGTCTGAATATTTCTTATGGACACCTGGGCTTTGAACATTACTTGAACTGGAGCATTCTTATGAGCTCCCTGAGAAGGCTCAGACCTAGTTCTCTTATCTCTGTGTCTAGTATTTTGTAAATGCTTGGAAAAGCCTATTGACTGTGCTAACATGTTAATTTCTGATGCGTAATTTCAAGGCAATACTGAGATGGTAGGTTCCTTTGCAGGCTAACAAATACTGAAATTCTCCAATTAGAAAGCTAATCATTCAAAGGCTATCTGAGCTTTGAAAAAGCATTGATTTAGGTTTTCTCTCTTGTTCAGTTCTGTGTGTTTGTTTCAGTCCACCTACAGTTCAAAAAGGAACAGTATCGGGACCAGCAGTTGGCATAATGGCTATGTCGCTTAACTCCCATGTAGTCAACCACGGTTCGAGTCCCTGACCCAGTGGCTTAAACTCATGCCGGGCCTGTGTGCATGTGTGCCCAAGATCCAAGAGGAGAATGGAGGAGAAAGGATTGCGGCATGGCCATCCCCCCTGGTGGGGTAATTTCTTGCTTTCTATCTCTCTGTCTCTCTCTGTCTGTCTGGCGAGCACATGTGCCCTATAAAAAAAAAAAGAAAAAAGAAAAAGGAAAGAAAACTCTCCAAAAAAAAAAAAAAAAGGCACAGTGTCCAAATCATACATTGTGACTTTTTGCCTTTTTTTTAAAAAAAGTTTATTCATTTATTTCTTTCATGAAAGATAGAAAAAATAAGCATCCTCAACAGAATCTCCTGCTGAGATTCCCTCCCAGTAAGCCCTCATAGCCAGCCAGGATCATTCACATGCGTTCATCTGGCATGTACAGGTTGACCTAGGAACTGAACCCTGAGCTCCCACATGCCTCCAGCATTGTCAAACATTGTGTATTGTTGCATGGCTGCAGCCAGGCCCACTGTTTATCTCAAAGGTACAATTTTTATGCCATTACAATGTAAGCCATGGTAACATGATCATAGTTCAAGCTGTCATTTTATCATTAAATATGCATTCATTATCTTTATATTTGCAGATTTATTCCATAGATGAAGATGAAAAATTAACAGCTAGTTTGGAAATTATCGTACCACGTGATTTGGCAGACGGGTTTGTGAACAATAAGCGAGAAAGCTACAAATTTAAGTAAGTTCATCTTTCTCCTCCTATGTTTCTGGTTTTTACACTAACACTTGCACTATGAGATTATCATCACTGTTTCTTGTGGAGAAATCGTACAGCTCTCTTCCTCACCTGGTAGATACGACTCGAGTTGACTTTTCACTGCTGTGCGTAAGGCTGGAAAAGAGGGTATATTTCTGTATCCAAGATCCTCTGTCAAGATCCCAGCACTTCTTTACTATCTCTGTCTGCCTGTTGTAGTTTTATCTTTTTCCTACTTGACCCACTAGGGTTTAGGACTTACAGGAAGTTCTAATGCATGACCACACTTTATTAAAGATAACAGCTCAAAATACAGCCTGCATGCTATGTAGGTGAGCCTTCTTTATAATCTTAATTATATAGAGACTGTATGCACATACGTACACTCTTTATTCATGCTGTCCAGCATAGAAGCCACAAGCCATGTGCAACTCTGAGTACTTGAAATATGTTTAGTTCAAATTAAAATGTGCTGTAAGTATAATACATATGAAGGATTTCTTTGAAGAATTATTTATTTTATTTATTCATTCATTTATTTTTTAATTTGAACAGAGGGAAGGGGGAGGGAGGGAGAAGAGAGAGAGAGAGAGAGAGAGAAAGAAAGTGAGACAGCAAGCCACCAGGTCCAGGACTTGAACCATGGTCAGCTATGTGGGAGTGTCCAGCACCTTAACTACCATGCCACCTGCTGGTCCCCATATGAAGGAGTTTTAAAGACTTAAAAAAAAAAAAATGGGGATAGCCCCATGGCCTACTGGCTAATGGAGCCGGATCACACGTGGCAGACCAAGCAGTTTGAATTCTGGCTCCAGTGACTTGAAAACATACTAAGCATGTATGCGTGCATGCCCAGATTCCCAACAGGGTGGAGAACTGGGTGAGAAGGGATTGCAGCACGACAATGTCCATTGTGGGATGCTTTTTCCCTCTCCCTCTCCCTCTCTCTCTGTCTGCCTCTCTCTGGAGAGCATATGTGCCCTCTGACAATTAAAAATCAAGAATAAAGAAAGAATACAAAATATCTCAAGAACTTTTTCATATTGGTTATATTGAAATGATAGGATTTTGGATAAATTGGGTTAAACTATAGTATTACATTTAATTTTTTTCTTTTTACATTTTAAAAAATGTGACTTACTAGACACATTGTAAATTACATATGCTCTCATATTTACGGATTGCACTCTCTTTCCTTGGGGCAGACTGAACTGTGGCTCCTCTCCTGGATGGTCATTAGTAGTGTCTTTGGTCTGAACACTCTTCCAGCAGCCAGCTCTTGAATTTGAGGACTGTAGCTATTTTATACC